GCTCAAGGCAAAGAATACCAGAAAGATGTTTACTTGTGTTTTATTGACTATGCAAAGGCATTTGATTGTGTGGATCATGACAAATTATGGATAACATTGAGAAGAATGGGAATTTCTGAGCACTTGATTGTACTCATGAGAAATCTGTACCTTAACCAGGAGGCTGTCGTTCGAACAGAACAAGGGGACACTACATGGTTTAAAATCAAGAAGGGAGTGTGTCAGGGTTGTATCCTTTCTCCACACTTATTCAATCTATATGCTGAGCAAATAATCCGAGAAGCTGGACTATATGAAGAAAAACCTGGTATCAGGATTGGAGGAAGAATCATTAACAACCTGAGATATGCAGATGATACAACTTTGCTTGCTGAAAGTGAGGATGACTTAAGGCACCTACTGAAGAAGGCTGAAGAATACAGTCTGCAGTATGGATTACGTCTCAATATCAAGAAAACAAAAATCCTCACAACTGGACCAATGAGCAACATCACAATAAATGGAGAGAAGACTGAGGCTGTCAAAGAATTCACGTTGCTTGGTTCTACAATCGATGCCAACGGAAGCAGCAGTCAGGACATTAGACGACGTGTAGCATTGGGAAAGTCAACTGCGAAGGAACTGTTTCAAGTGCTGAGGAGCAAGGCATATCTCCTTGAGGACTAAGGTGTGCCTGACACAAGTCATGATATTTCCAATCACCTGGTATGAATGTGAGAGCTGGATAATGAATAAGGAAGACCGAAGAAGAGTTGATGCTTTTGAGTTGTAGTGCTGGCAGAGAATGCTGAAAGTACCATGGACTGCTAAAAGAACTAAGAGATCTGTCCTGGAGGAAGTGCAGCCAGAATGCTCCTTGGAAGCAAGAATGGCCAGACTTTGTCTCACCTATTTTGGTCATGTTGTAAGAAGGGACCGTTCCCTGGAGAAGGATGTCATGCTTGGTAGGGTGGAGGGTCGACGAAAGAGGGGGAGGCCTTCAACAAGATGGATTGACACGGTGGCTGCGATGATGGGCTCAAGTATAGCAGGGATTGTGGGGCTGGCGTGGGATCGGGCAGTGTTTCGTTCTGCTGTGCATGGGGTCGCTATGAGTCGGAAACGACTCGACGGCACTTAACAACAACAACAACAAGTGGAAATGTAAAATAACAACTATTTTGGAATTATTCTTGCAGTTTCTTATAAAGTTTCCAGAAACTTCACTCCTACATGGTTACCCAAGAGAAATGAAAACATAGGTCTACATAAGACTACATATTGCTTTACTCATAATAGTCCTAAACTGGAAATAATCCAATTGTCTATCAACAGGAGAATGAATAAACAAATTCTGCATATTCACAGAATAGATCTGGTGTAATGGGTTTCTGGGAAAAAAAAAGAACAGGGATTTCCTGAGTTGACTGACACTTCCTGGGTAAGCTGTAAACAATGTGATGGTTTGTCAATTATGATGCCTGGCCTGCCTGATAAATGACAAGACCTAGATCACTGAAATTTTGAGGATAATCAAGAATCAAGGCTTGGAGTCAATGAAAAGGACTGGTTGGGCCTTGATACAGCTAGGAGGACTGATTGGGCTCCAATCCTGCTTGGGAGGCCCCTCCCTTGCAATTGACAAGAAATGTTCTATACAAAATGGCTGAAACAGAGGATTTTAGGGGCTTCCTGGATAATAAGACCCTGGTGGTGGTGATGGTGGAGGTGGGGGGAACATGTCCTTCAGGATATGGGGGCCTACACTAAGAACTTACCAGACCCAGTGAAGAGCTGTATTACACTTAAGATTGAGAGAGCACCAGACACCCCAGCTGAGAGCTGTACACCTGGAAGTAAGAAAGCCAGATGCAGTAGCAAGGGGCCCTGGCCTGAAATAGTACCATGAGGCTGCAACAACCCACAGAGAGGTGGTTGTGCAGGGTCTGTCTGGAGCACAGGTGGCTGCCTCAAGCAGGGGCACTGACTACAGAGCAGTCTGGTTCTAAGAGTTGTTGTGATGTCAATCTAGAGCTGAACCTGGCCTAGAACTGTCTCAATACTGCTGGTTTTAAAGTTGGACCAGTCAGCAACAGGAACAAATCCAGGCAAGAGGACCTGGGGTGGAGGTGAGAGCAGAAATCACAATGCACCCACCGATATCTGAAGTAGTGATGTTAACTCAGTATCTGAACAGTGGCACATCTGCTGACAACTGAGTTGCAGCATACCCACTAAGTAAGAACGAACATCAGTTTGGGGAAGGGAACGAAGGTCCTCTTTGAAATGTAAGTGGATTTATGCTAGGAACTTCCTGGAACTTTGCCCTTCGAATTTCTTAATTTATCTCTCCCTGTTTATATTCTTCTCTGCTATATTAAAGTTATCACAAATATGGTGTTTCTGTAAGTTTTGTGGACAATGCAATGAATTATCAAACCCATTAAAGAGAGTGCGGTGGGATGGCTGGTGTCAGAAAACTACAGAAGTTGGACCCAGCATTGTGCTGATTTTCTTATTGGCAAAGTTAGTTTACAGTTTACTCATGAAGTTTCTTAGCTTAACAGAACATTACTCTGCAATAAAAAGATTGAACTACAGATTAATGTCAATAGCATGGATGAATTTTGAAAACATTCTTGGATCTAAGGGATTCTACTTATATGAAATTCAAGAGAAAGTAAACTAATGAAGGGTGATGGTGATCAAAACAGTGGCTATCCTTTTGGGTTGAGGACTGAGTATAAGGGAACACATAGGAAGTCTGGGGTAATGAGGACATCCTTCTTTATCTTGCATGAGGTATGGTTATATGGATGTAATTTGCCAAAACTCTCTAAACTGTCCACTTAAGATATGAGTATTTAATTATACCCAAATTTCATCTCACATACCAACATCACCACCACTCTGATAAAATTTGGAAAAAAATATGAAATCGCATTATTTTCATGACTGCTAAATAATGGGAAAGAAACAAGTATTTAATTTACCTGATATACCCCCCCCCCACACACACACTTAGATTTTCTGGATAGAAGTTCTATAAAAAATAAAAAAAGGAGGAAAAATGAATGAGAGTATCACCATATGCCAACCTTCCATGAACTAATGGATTTTGATTATCATCAATGCTGATAAAAATTATTAAGAGAGAACAAAATAACAAGACTTTGATTATCCCAACACTTAAGAAGGAGGTAGGGATCAAATATGAGTCTGACTGTTGTTGTTATGTGCTGTCGAGTCGGCCCCGACTCATAGCGACCCCTCCTTGGGTTTCCGAGGCAGTTATCACTACGGAAGTAGGATTGCTCAACCTTCCTTCCGAGGAGTGGCTGGTGGGTTTGAACCGCCAGCCCTCTGGTTAGCAGGCAAGTGTCTTAGCCACTATGCTACCAGAGCTCCCATGAGTCTGACTAATCCTTTGAAAATGAAAAAGAACCTTTAAAAGGCTGTGCCTAAGTAGTCACACAAGAAATTAAATCAGAGACCTTTTTCAGCAATTAAAAAATTTATGCATAAAAACTTACTTGTGACAACATTTTTGCACTTTGTTTTTTAATGCTGTAGTTTAAAAGGTCAGTATTTTAAATGCAGGGTTGATATTTAAATGTAGTTTATCTGTATTCACAAATGATCTTAAGATATGTCTCAATTAAGCATTTTGTTATAAAAAGAATAAAATTAAGACCTTATTTTCAAAAATGCTTTCTCCATAATAAAAACATAAAGATTATTTTCAATTAGTCTCAGATAAACATTAAGATGGTACTTTTTTTCATGTTTATAGATCAGTATCACAGAGGTATCACTGTGATACTCCTTCATGTGACTCCCAGTAAGGTTTTCCTATTATTATTGTGTTATCTCAACCCCTTTTTGGGTCAACTTTGAAACTCCAATTAAGTAGCACAATGTTGTTGTTATGTGCTGTTGAGTCAGACTTGACTCATAGCGACCCTTCCTTGGGTTTCCGAAGCAGTATCACTATGGAAGTAGATTGCCCCATCTTCCTTCCGAGGAGTGGCTGGTGGGTCTGAACCACCAGCCTTCTGGTTAGCAGTCAAATGCCTTAGGCACTATGCTACCAGAGCTCCCAAGTAGCAGAATAGTGGTTATGAAAAGTAAGTATGTTCACCATTGGTGCTAGAAATGATCAAGGGTGTACCAAAAAGAGGAAGTATCAGTAACCTCCTACAAACCAAACTGACAAAACAAAATATAACATAAAATATAAAAGAAAATACAATAAAACATTACCTCTTCATAGATACAACTGATACTCATTCTGGTGTCTCTGTACTTGAGTCCTAGAGCAGTAACTTATGGAAAATCTCCAGGAAGGTACGTGCTTGTATGCTTTCTCACCTCACCTCACCAGTGGATGCCAAAAAGGCATCCATATCCACTTTAATAATCTCCTCAGCAGGCGACGGGAAAGCCCATGTCTTCCAGAATTGTAAAGTATGGTACAGAGAAGTAATGCAGTAGATAAAAGCATTTGCTTGGAAGCAAACAGAATTGGAAAGTTCTGTCTCTTTCTGTGAGAATTTGGGGTTTAGTTTCTTTAGATATAAAAAGGAAATACTAGTATGTATCTTGGCATGTAATCATAATAGTGAAATAAAAGGATGTACCATTTTACATAAAAGGTGCTCAATACAAGGAAGTTATGTAAGAACGCTAAAGGAAGGAGGAATATTGAGAGGTGGTAGTTCTATTTTCATCAGCACCTTTCAACCAGCAGTAAGCCAGGAATGTTATAGACAAATTTTACCAAACGTAGAAGAAAACTTAAAACTTACAACACTTCAGGATACGAATCACAAGACAACTTTAAAAAGTAACGATTATATTACAGATACACTTCTAAATTTACAGACTGAGAATCTGTGTTTGCTTATTGAGAAAAAAGTACAGAGAGACACAGGTCTAAAGCATAAATAATAAAGATACAGGTCTAGAGTATACACTCTTGTAGTGAATCAAATCTTCCTTTTCATAATTAAACACCTCACCTAATCAAAACAGAGTCCCTGGTATAGCCACCATCATATTCTGTAGTTTCTTCTAGTGCTTGGAAATCTAGATTCTGCAAATACAAAAAAATCTTTAACATCTGCTATACCACAACAATACAAATAAATCAATACATTATTTTTTTACAGACACCTGCTTTCTTACCCGGCTTCCACAAATAAGCAATTCAATTTCCTCTGGTCTGAATAAGTACTTTAAGGGAGATTCATTGGTCACCATATGAAAACCTCTCCGAAAGGCTTTGAACTGTTTTTCTACTGATTTATTGAGAATGTAGTCAGAATAGAGACTGACAAATTCCTGTAGAAAACATTAATCACAAGAACTTCTTATAATGTGTCATGCAAACAAAACACAGTAAGCTACTGGGCTGCACAGCTTTTATTTTTATTTCCCCCAATGAAAAACATTCAAGAATATTTTAAAAAATTCCAATCTTACACATACAAATGAAATACATTTTATAATTCATAGCTCTCAGCAATAGCCAGTATTAGACTGTAAAAGGTATGCATATAAACTGGTTATACATATAAGCTAGGGCCTCTGTATTACTTTTAGGTCCCCTCAGTTACATGTGCCAAATTGAGACATTTCAAACCCTGTAAGCTTCTTTTCCCACATTTAGATGAGTCACTTTACTTACAAAAGTCAAGATCTATAACAGAATGAAATGTACAGGATTTGAGCAAACCATGAAGTCTCATATTTTCTATTACAGATTATTAGAGAAGTTGTCTATTGTATCTAGTTCAGTAAAAAGTTGGCATTTTGTTTTGATATGAAAGTTACTCTTCGAGATCATGAAAGGAATATGTACTTTGTATCCTAACTTAATGAGAACTAATCAAAATTTTAGTTATATAAGCACATGATTTATTAAAGTTTTACTAAATATTTAACATATTTTTTTCTGTAATGTTCTAGGTTATTCTCCTCTTGCCAGTTAAATAGTTTTTCAGCCAATAGAAAACACAAATTTGATTTAAAGAATACTTACCAGATGTATGTTTATGTCACAAATGGAATATACATGTGTAGATTATCATTTATTCAATAAAACATATGATATAAAGACTGTAATCATGAAACCCACTTATCTCTACAACCTAAAATGAAAAACACTTTGTTTCTTGCTTTTAGGTCTAGCAACAATGAGCTGTTTATCTCCTACTCCATGTCTTCCTCCTTTAAAAGAGGTCTGGTACCCAACAATGTCCTCTCATACTAATGTTTTTTGCCTCCTAGAAGAGTACTCATTCAATACCCTACACTAAAACTCCCTCTGTGCTTGTTTAGCCTGAGAATTCTTTATTCTTAGTGCTTACCTACCACAGTGCCTAGTCCACACCAAATTCATAATATAAATTCATAAAATAATTTAATAAGGAGCTCTTTTGGAAGTAACATGTCATCATATGAAGTCACCCATGTTAAAAATACAAAAATCTTCCTAAATCAAGCAAAGAAAAATCAAGCAAAGACATAAAAAGGCCTAGTTGTAGGTACTTCTTTGTTCCCTTACAGATTTATTTTTGCAACTTTCAAATTCCAATTCACACTAAGTCATGTCTATAAAAAAAACATCTAATTTTTTCCAGCTATCCTTTCACTTCTTCTGTCAAAAACTTCTAGATGTAAACAATTTATTTAGGTCGCATTTAATGATATGTATAAGGCAGTGGATCTCAATGGGAAGGGAGAAGAAGGGAGGAGAATCCTAAAAGGGGACATTTAGCATTGTCTGGGGACATATTTACTTGTCATGATTTGAAGGTGTTACTTCTAGTGGGTAGAGACCAGGGATGCTGTTAAACACACTACAACGCACAGGACAGCCCCCACAACCAAGAATTATCTGGCCCAAAATGTTAAACAGTGCTGAAGTTGAGAATTTTTTGTCTAACATAGTCTTCGTAATCTGACCTCTTAGAATACACCATCCCTATACCTTCTATATCATTTCAATCTGGTTATAGAGTTTCTGACAATAAAACATACAATTGAAAATATTCATACAGAGACCATTTTATGATTCTGAACATAATGGCAGGAATGAATATTTGAAAGCTGTCAGGTAGTACAGTAGTATAATGTAAACTAATGGCAATTATATGATGGCCTTTCATAAGAATGACATCTGCACTCATATGAGGTAGAGAGAAGTCTCTAGAAAACAAAATTGTGAATTCTTATCAGGCTTAAGATCTGACTTCTGTTTTTCTTACCCTGAGAACATTAAAGATTTCATTTCCAAAATAAAAAGAACTAAGTAAAAGGCAGAGTAAAAAAAGAAGACAAAAAAAGATGTGTGTTATATGTACTAGAAATATTAACCATAAATAACAAGTAGAACTATGAAAGATGATAATTAATTTTTCTCACCCTTTTCAGTATTTTCAAATTTTCCACTTAGAAAAAAAAACCAAAACAGACTTTTTAAAACCTTGGATAAAATATATCAAAGTCTCCATGGATAGAAAAACATTCATTAGTGCTATATTAAAGTCTGAAATACTACTGTAACACATTAATTGTAACTGAGTTTTTTAAAAAAACACAATCACAGAGTAAATACATTTACTGCCAATCCAAGGCTTAGAAAAATGTGGTTACATCATTTACATGAATTTGGTTAGTTGACTTCTTGGCTCTTGAAACAGACTACTAGATAAGTCTTTGAAAAGGGCAGGCATATATACTTTGAAACTCTGTTAATAAAGAGACAAGAACAATTAAGAAATAAAAACATTACCTTCCTGTTTTCATTTGTAATTGGAATTTTATCACCATTTTCCTTTAGATCATACATCATTGGATTACCAAAAAGGTCTGTCTGAGATATCTGGAAAGTGATCATCATGTCATCTTCCACATTTCCTTCATACTCCAATAAATCTTTTAGACTCTGATATAGAACCTAACAATCAGAAATGGAAAAGTGAAGCTACCATAAAACTAAAATATACAACAAATAGTTTGTCTCATTTTTTGTGGAAGACAATGAATTCTGTCCATTAGTATGAAAGCATAGATAGTATCCCTTCTGTCTATCAAATGGTTTATAACATAGAAACTACAAAAAGACTGTCCCTGATGTGATGTCCTTTTCTCTGCTGGTAACTCCGTATCACATCCTTAGTGATGGATTTCACATTGGGCTTGATGAAAACCTCACAGGGCCCTCAAGTTTAGGAGAGAGGTAGGGGAGAGAAATGGACACACAACGCAGTCACCAAGCCCCTCAGTCAGTGCAGCTCTGACTTCAATTGGCAGTCTCATACTATTTCATTAAAAAAGGAAAAATTATTTAAAAGCTACTGCTCTACAGAATCAATCTTACAAAAGCTGCTTGTTGACAGCAATACATAAAAAAAAATTGTCTCTGAGTTTATCAGTGTTCATGGTACATTATCAGATTAAGACAATTTGATTTTATCAGGTGTATGAATAAATATCCCCTCAATGTAAAACTGTATTTTTGCATTTAAGTAAAATCTAAGAGATTGACTAAATAAAATCAAAGAACTTACTGGGTGAGAGTCTCCCAAGTCACGAAAAGTTCCTTTTTTCCCCATTAGCTTCCTGTAGACAACCATGGGAAAATGTACATCCAATATACAGTTATTATAAATAGCCAGACCCAGTACTATGCCAATCAGAGTAAACTGACCCTCAGTTTCAAAAGAAGATGGATTAAACCAAAACAATTTCGTAGATTCATCATATGTGAACATACCTATAAGAAATGATTTTTAAAAAATATATTACTTTTGTATTCCATTAAAGACTAACCATGAAACACAAGCAAAATAAAAATTGGAAAAAATTACACATATAAAACTTATTTGTACTACCTGAACAAAAATTACTTTTTCTATTAGTTTAGCACTTGAGAAACCAATGTTCAAATACATTCTGACTTTCTTATAAACTATGGCAAATGATGGCATATAGTTTCAAGAAACCAAGGAAATAAGCAATTTTGGTGTATTTTCTAAGAAATTAGAAAATGCTAGTCAAACTCAAGTTCTCTATCCAGTCTTCCATTAACATGTGAAAAAGTAGTATTTATACTTCATTCACTTAATGGTTGAAAAATAAAAGCAATAAATTATTAGTCAAGATAAAAGGCTATCATACTTAGAAAATGTTTAATGTATAAAACATAATTATTCCACACATACTGTTTAACAAAACAATTACATTTTTTCAATATTATACACTATAATAACTTTTCTAGCACCTTTCTAACAACATTAGATGATATCAAGTACATAAATTTAGAGAAACTTAGTTTATACACAAAATCCAAGCTATTTAAAACATACATGAATTGTAAACTAATAGGGAAAACAAAAGCAGTCTGCATTTATAATCTTCTTTCAGTTTCACATAATTTTCACTATTCCAAACCCTGGAGGCTATTTTTCTAACATTCAGTCGTTGTTAGCTGTCATCAAGTCTGCCCCAGATTATGGTGACCCCATGTGTTACTGTTCCATAAGGTTTTCTTAACTATAACCTTTATAGAAGCAGTTCACCAGCCCTTTCTTCTGCAGAGTCAACAGCAAATCACTGTGCTACCCAGGGTCTTCACTCATTAGAGGATAGGAATGTTTGGTTTCATCTACGTGAATGGCCATTACTATGACAATAGTACATTCTACCCTTTAAATGAATGTCATAAGGAAAAAAATACTGTAACGGAATATATAACTTTTTCATTTTATTAAAGTGCTTGTAAATTGCTACTGTGAAAGTGAACAGACATATTATTTTCAACTTTAGGTCTCCAAAAAAATCCACACAAAAAACTCCTATAATTTTCAGTACAACTCAAAAACTGCAGTATATAACACATTAACTATATTTTACCACTTCTGAGACCAACTTTTTCAGCCCAACTCAAAAACTGCAGTATATAACACATTAACTATATTTTACCCCTTCTGAGACCAACTTTTTCAGCCTCTCAATCAGGTTTCCTGGGAAGCTGCTATCTTAGCTGTAATACATACCACCTGGAAGGACCTGTGTAACTTCATGCATCTGAAGAAATGGGCTTCACCCTACCAATCCTATCACGAGAGTCCACTTGTGAGGTATGCATCCCAAGTAACTGTATCAAAATGCTTTATTACATCAAGAAAAAAAGAAAAGAGTATGCCTTGCAATACTGAAAACACATGGTAGCAACAACAATAAAACAAAAAATTCAAAGAAGAAAATAATTTGGTCATGAAGGTTACAATCAGTTTACCAAGAATTTTAAAAGCTTTTGGAATTTTCCTTCATTTTCACATAAGCTAAAAGGAATTTTAAAATGCCCTCTTGATCGCTAGAGCATAAATTATGCTTAAGCATTTTTTAAAAGTTTAATCTTTATGAATAATAGCTTAAAAATCACCTAATTATTTTACTTGACTTTCACAGCTTAGATCTAATTTTTTTTGCAAGTCTAAATTACAACATGATTGCAATTAAAAAGTTACATGGATGACCAAAACAGTTAATTTAGTTATAAATATGGCAACAGGAAGGCTAAGAACAGTTGATTGACAATAACAATTAATTAATAAATTTGATGAAATCTCACAAACACACATCCTTGGTTTCAAGAGAAATTCCATTTTAGGCATACTTTTCAAGTCCTTCCTGTTCTACATTTCCTACTTTATGTCACAATCAAAAAGGATGAAAAACTGAAACCTAATTCCTTCACTTTCAGACTTAAATATGTAAATCAGCGTTTCACAAACTGTTCAATGGAAATTATTCAGAGACAGACATCATTAGATGTAGGGTGAATAATGAGTTCAAAACATATGGAAGAAATATTACAATTAAAGCCCCAAGAAATCCTGGAGCAAATATGGTACCAACCAGTTCTTCTAAACTTTGTCTGAGCATGATACAACTCTGAGGCATTCTCAACATTTTTCAGACCACTGTTCTATGGAAGCTTGGGTTTTGGAATCATCACAAATTTGATCAATGTTTTAGATTACCAAGAAGAGCACACAAATCCCTTTAATTGTTCTAATGCTCCATTCTAAAGTGGCCCCAATTTAGAGGTAATTTCCTATATTAAACTATTTGGTTACATAATCTAAATAAGAATGTCAATAAAGGAACGATTCAAATCAATTCCCAAAACCCACAAAGTTAGTCATGATCTGTAATTCTAGGTAATCCATACTAAAACATTCTTCTGTTGCTCTTCTTAGTTGAGAATGTTTGTGAATTAAGGTAAATAAATTCTTAATTACAAAGGATGATTTCACACTATAATCACATCACTAAAATATTTACCAATATCTGGATTGAAAATTTCTTCCACAACCAGCTGAAAGAATTCTTTGGAAACACCTCCCTCATCAACTCCTTGTTCTCCTTCAAATTCCACATACAGTTGTTTCTTCAAGTCTGCAGGATTTTCCATAGCGATCATCTCTAGCTAATGAGTGGAAAGATAAATGTGAAAAGGTGACTAGCAGTATTAGGATGAAAACAAAATAAAGATAAGTAGAAACAAACAAACAAAAAAGACAAAGAGTAGGGATAGGGAGTAAAATAGAGGTTTTGACTTATTTGTTTTTAAATGGAAAAGGAAGCAAACTGGTAAAAATGCCAGTGAAGACAGTGATGGTTCTCAAAGACTCAGTTCTTAAAGTACAAAAATTAGAATTCGTCCTTCTATTACTTGTATGTAACAAATCTAGGCTGTGAATAATTTCAGCAAAAACAATGACATAGAGAAGTTTGACTTTAAAATTGTTTGCTAGTAGCCCTTTATTAGAATAGAAAGCTAAGAATTAAGTCTTAATATTTATAAGTCATTTAAATAATTTCAATTAAGAATATACTGGATAAATAGTGAAGCAGTCTGTGGTCTTTCATAACAATGCATAGTGTAAATTACTACTTTTTAATAGATCAGAGCCCACATTTTTTTCTTTTTTTTTTATAATTGTGATTTGGGTGAAAATTTACAGAGCAAATTCACTTTCCATACAGCAGTTCACATACACTTTTGTCTCATGACTTTGACCACAATTTACCACAATGCAACAGCTCCCCTCCCACCTCCTCTCGACAGTTACCTCTTCCCTGTGTCCATCCCTCCATGCATTCCAGCCCCCTGAGCTGTCTCCCTGTGCATAAGCAGCCCTTCTTTCTCCCATGCTTGTTCTCTCCAAGGAGTGTACCTACCTCAGGTAAATGTTCAACTCAAATGCCTGTCAATTGTTTGGCTGGAAGTCACTGGTGTGCAGAACCCACATTTTCTTGAAAACAGGTAATACAACTGCCTGCTCATATTTGTACTCCTAACTTCTTGTAACAACTACCAAATACTAGTGTTTAGCAATCCTTTAACTATACATCTTTTAAAAAACCCAGTATTTTTTTGTATCTGTAGAAAAATCACTATACATGCTGATCAATCTCAGTTACTATGATATCCTAAAATACTTTTTTATTCATAAAATCGATACCAGATTCTACTGTGAAGTTCATATTGCAAGTTGTTGCTGCTTTATGCATCTGAAATGTACTAACAGTAACCTCAACAGATTATACACCTAATTACTAAATTGACTCCAAATGTCTTTGGCTGTTTAAAACACACAAAAACACTACTCTTCAAAGATAGAAAATTTAACAAAATGGAACATTTAAATGTTTACAGGTGACTGCAACAATTCCAAATGAAATTTTAAAAATGGTTTTAAGCAATGCAAATGTCACTGGAGTAAATATAGTCTTAAAACAATTATTTTAGGTAACAGAATTTGTTTGGACATTCTAGTATACTTACAAAAAATAGAATAAAATGTCATATATTGATGAATCAGGTCAGATTGCCCCAGATCAATATTTTGATAACTGTAATGGAGGAAATATCAAAATGCATTCCCATAGTAATGGCACTTCCTGTTTTGTGAACGTTTTATTTCATTTTTATGTACAGATAGATATATGTGTGTACTGGGAGGTCATGTAAAATATTTCTTACTAGGGGTGGAATTCAACATAGTTTGAAAACTACAGGCCCGAATGATCTTGTGGATGTCTTCAACTTTGGGTTTCACTATTTTGTGAAATTAGTCAACTGTAATAAAATTAATTAGGCTTATCACATTTCTAACGCTTTAAAAATGCTTTTTCCTTGCTGAACAGTGGTCTCTATCATTTACAAAATCAGTTGTATGCCATGTTGCATTAATGTAACTTATTTCTGAGATAATGTGCTGCTGCTATGGTGCAGTGAAGTAAATTACTTAGTATGGCTTTTCTACCCATGAGTCATTGTAAACTCAGTGGTGGAATGAGCAACTAAGAAGCTCCTGTTTGTAAATGTTATCCACCTGAGTTATTTCTGTTGGGCGTGGCACAACGCAATGCTAAGGGCGGCTCACTCTCAGGTGCTTAGAATTCTGTTGTTATGATTGGTTGGTTTGGCCACTCTGCCAAGCTCAAAAGGAGGCCTCCTAGAGGCAGAACTCTCTCTGACTGCTGGTTGAGGAAGACATGCTGCTGAAAGAGACACGTGCTGCTGGGAAAGAGATGCAAGAGACATGCATTGCTGAGTAAGACACCAAGGGATATGCACTGCTGGGAGAGAGACTGTGAGAGACTTGGCTGAGAGACAGTGGGCTGGGAGAGATACTGAGCATTTTTCCTGAACTTGAATTGTAGCCTGGTGCTTCCTTAATAAACCCCATAATCTGTGAGTTCTGTGTGGCCACTGCAGCGAATTATCGAACCCAGGAGAGAGGTGGTGGTGCTTTGGGAGGAACAGTTGGTGAAAGGGCTGGAGGGAGGCAGCATGTCTGGCCTTGCAGTAATAGGCCTTGGGCTACTGATAGTGATTCTGCCTTCCTCTTGTGGGGTTCTAGGTCAGAATATGTGGCCTCCTTGTCCTTTTTGCACATGGGAAGATTACATATCAGAATACTCTGTAAAAATCCCAACTGTCAGTTAACTTTTAGGAAGTGACTCAATCTGTTTACTCATCTGCAGAGAATAAAAAAAAAAAAAATGAAAGGATAATAGTCTTTCTACTGCAAAGCTGTGAAGGTTTAATGAGAATATATGAGAAAGCGTTCTGTAAAGTGGGTGATACTATTAAGAGCAAACACATCATATTGTTATCTTTCAAAACAACTGAAGATTATCCTCTGAGCAAAGGATTCCAAATTTTATGTTCCTCAAGGAACATGAGCTGCTAAACAAAAGGTTGGAGGTTAGAACCCACCAGCTGCTCTGCGGGAGGAAAGATGAAGCAGTTTACATCTGTAAAGATTTACAGCCTTAGAAACCCTCTTTGGCAGTTCTACTCTGTTCTATATGGTTGCTATGAGTTGGAACGTCTCAAAGGCAGTGGGTTTTTTAAGGAAACTGACACAGCCTAGTCCCAAGACTTTAAACAAATGTAAACTTGAAAATAACCTTAGAAAAAATAGTTCCAGTTTGGAAATCTGTTTCAAGCTAGAGTATACAGAATTCTTGGAAATAAAATTAGATTTATCATCTTAGCTCAAGTGTGATTTATCCATTGGACCAACACTCATACTACTATATTTCTTCTTCCACTTCCCAGCTGGCTACAGGTTAAAGAAATATAAGTCAATCAATGTTCATATCTGCCTGTAAAACATGAAAGCAAACCTGCTTATAACAATTATAACTTATTCCAAAGTAAAAATAAAAAATGGCTTTATAATGATCTGATATTTAGATTATACATCTTCCATCCCTTTTCCATTAATATTAATAAATAAAGGCTAACTCCAAATTAATTACCAAATTACCTCTTAAGGATCTGATAGAGTTTCTACATGATTCAGAGGCCCTGTGCTTTAGTCTTGGCTCCATCTTAAAAAACTTCATATGAAAAGAGGGGTAAATTTATTTTCATTCTTAACAAATTATAACATGTCTGTTCATTCCCACTAATTTCCACTGTCCATTCTTCCCCTTGGGAACCAAAGGAATTTAATGCAATATGTTTCAGCAGTATGTTAATTGGGAATATTTAAATTTACCTATCTTTGTTTTAGTTTCTTCATCTGAAAAATCAGTATAATGGAAATAAATAACACATCAAACCAAACCCACTGCCATCGACTCAGATCTGACTCATAGCGACCCCTTCCCTTGGGTTTCAGAGGCCATATAACTACGGAAGTAGATTACCCAACCTTTCTTCCAGGGAGTGGCTGGTGGGTTTGAACCGCCAGCCTTCTGGCTAGCAGTCAGATTGCACAAAGTCTGTGTCTTATAAGTAATAGATACTTTTGTTGTTTTTGTTATAATTACTATTATTTTATTGGCTCTAAAATTTTTTCTAGGCTTGCCTGATAAGCTAATAACCATGATTTTATAAAGAAAACTATTCTAGTAATTACAATAGTAGTATTACATAGCAATTATGTGCCAGGGTACTAGTTTAACCATTTTACATATTCTAACCCATTTAATCTTCACAATAACCTTATGAGGTAGGTAATACTATTAAACCTATTTTTAAAGATGAGGAAACACGTATTGAAGGGTAAATAACTTTCCCAAGTCATAGTAAGTGGTGGAACCTGTTCCGTTGCTGTTGAATCAAGCGGGTTCCAATGCATGGTGAACCTAAAGGACAGAGCAGAACTATCTCTGCCCCATAGGGTTCCAAGGCTAGAATCTTTATGCAAACAGAATGCCACATCTTTCTTCCATGGTGGGTTCAAACTGTCATCTTTTGGTTAGCAGGCAAACACATAACCACAATGTCACCCACGCACCTTAGAATTAGAACAGAAATTCTAATTCCGGCAGCAAATTCATAATTATTATGCTTTACTAACTCTGTATTTTGATAAAAGCCATTATTAAATAAGGGGTTGCACTGATTTTGCAAATTTAAACAAACAAAACAAAATCCCCTAGCCCACTGTTTGGTCAATTAGAGAATGATTTAAGAGCTCAACTATAAAGGTTTATCACTATTTGTAACAGATACTACCATTTAAAATTAAGTAGGCAATACTTTTTTACAAATCAAAAACCGTTTTAAAGGCAGTAGGATATTTGGAAATTAAAAGAATATGGTTCACTTCTGAAAGGAGTAATCTGTATGCTTCCCTGAATTCACTTACAACACAAACCTGGATTTTTATGAGTTTTCTTAAAGTAAGTTATCTTTTGTATTAGTAGTTTAACACTGAGACTGACAAGAAATGCAGATTATTGGGGGGTGGCAGCGCTGGTGCGTGACACCTACATATTATAATGGCATATAACCAAAAAAAAGAACAAACTCACTGCAATTGAGTTGATTAGACCCCCCGATTAGCCTCAATTAGACCCAGTTGAGTAGACAGCAACCCCTCCTTGGGGTATCTCTACAGAAGCAGATTGCTCAGTCTTCCTTCTGAGGAGTGGCTGGTGGGTTTGATCTCCCAGCCT